TTGCAATGAAAGTTAAGAAAAAAGATATAGCTACGAAAATATAATTTTGTAGCTAAAGCTCTTTTACTATAAAAATAATATTCATAATAAAAAAATTTTACCAACAAAATATACATGATTTTTTTAGTCAAATAGTTTTAAGTATGAAAGATAATTTTGTAGCTAAAATTTTTTTCTATGAAAATAGGATTTTTTTAGTAAAAGAATTTAGCGACGAAATTAATTTTGTAGTATATAATTGATTTTTACTGACGGAATTAATTTTTATTGTTGAATAATACGTTATAACTACAAAAATATTTTGCAGTAATAAATTTTCTAGCTAATTAGACATTTTTTTTATTTTTGTAGTGTACCGATATGAAACATGAAATCCCAAACCAAACCTTAGATAATGGTATATCACTACAAAAAAATATCAATTTTGTGACAAGATTTTTTCGTTCTCAAATCCACTTTTTCCGTTACTAATGATATTAGAGACGGAATTAGAAATGAAATTACGTTAGCTACGTGAACATTAAGAACGAAATTCCGTTACAAATATACTATTTTTTTGTAGTGTATGATGAATAAAGTGATACATATTTCCAGCAAAACAATTCGAAATAGAAAGAGATTTATGCGATGTTGCCATCAGTGTACTCTTGCAAGACAGCTGACCCATCACTTATGAAAACTGAGAACTACGAGGCCTATGAAAATGCATTATAAGCAAAACTAGTACTATATGCGTAGGTGAGTGCTAATTGTCACGAGGTCATCTTCTTTGATGGGGTAAACAGCACCCCGTGACACTTCATAATCAAATTAAATGTGTGTATATATTAAAACGGACAATGAGTCGATTCGTATCGGGTTCGTATGTCAGGTTGAATACTTTAAACGGGTTAAATTACTCAACTCTAACTCGATCCGTTTATTATCGTGACGGGTTCGTGTTGACCCGTTTATTATCGTGTCGGGTTCGGATTGACTCGTGTTGACCCATATACATAATTAAGTCGAAATTCTTGATTCAAATTAAATTATTTTTTGTCGTGTTATGTTAATTTTTATTGGTTTGAGCGTAAATTAGGTTGAATTATTTAAAATTGAAACTTAGTTAAAATTAATTTATGAGAAAATTATAAAATTATGATTATTTTACATATATAATAAATATATTAATCAATATTAATATATTATAATCAGGTTGTCATGTCAGGTTCGAGTTGAGAGCCCCAATCCTAACCCAATCCGTTTATTATCGTGTCGGGTTCGTGTCAACCCATATACATAAACGGGTTGAAATCTTTGACCCAAACTCAATCATTTCGTGTCGGGTTCGTATTGAGTTGTCGTGTCGGGTCAATTTTTTTCAGCTCTAGTATATATACTGTTCGAGTATACAAGAAAAAAAAAATGGTCAATAAATTTTATTATTTTTTACTAAAAAGAAAAAAACTAAATACTATAACAAATCTACATAAACCTTATAATTTTTACACAAAAATTAAAATAGAAAACAAAAATTGGAGAGGGGGGAGGGAGGCAAATTATTAAAAATACATCATTTATTTATTTTTTAAACTAAAGAAAACATATATTTTGGGGATGGGGTAAGGTGCCCTAGCTCCCACGTGGTTTCATCCTTGTGTGCCGAATAAATTATAGCCATTAGATTAGGTTTAGGATCAATGGTGAAGATTGTTTGTATGATAAAATAGTCATTTTGACTATATTTTAAATGAAATGTGGATTTTCTCATTTATAACCATAATTTAGAAATTACATGTGTAGATACTAAAAATATGTCTAAAATAAATTAAATATTATGTATTTTAGAAGAAAATAAAATTTCAAAAATAAATATATAGTATTTATTATGCACATATGTTAATTTTTGTACAATAAATATCAATCATTAATGCAAAAATCTGCTTAAAATGGAAGATATCGTACAAATATTACGTGCATAAATAGAGTCATAATAAATTTGGCAGCAAAATAAATAAATTTTGTTAATAAAGGAAGTATATAAATTAATATCTTCCAAAAAAAGGCAATGATATAAAGATTTTGGCGAGAAAGGAAGGTGCACAATCAAATCTTTAAAAAATGGAAAACAACATCCGATGAAAAATGAAAGATTATAAAATCTTCATATTGGCCAATCAAAACGCGCCACGTGGCACCATTAAAAAAGGAAGCTGAAGCCACCCATCCCCTATAAAGGAAGATAAAGGAAAATAAATAAATCTTGTCAATAAAGGAAGTATATAAATTAATATCTTCCGAAAAAAGACAAAGATATAAAGATCTTGGCGAGAAAGGAAGGTGCACAATCAAATCCTTTAAGAATGGAAAACAACATCCGATGGAAAATGAAAGATTATAAAATCTTCCTATTGGCCAATCAAAACGCGCCACGTGGCACCATTAAAAAAAGAAAGCCAAAGCCACCCATCCCCTATAAATAGGAGCCATGGCAAGTTCATTTGAGAGACCGAAGTTACATCGAGAATTCAAGCAAAGGGGTAAGTCTCTAGACTCTCTATGTATTGTTCTTCATGTTCTTCATGTCCTTCGAAGCGTTCTTCGTCGAAAGTCACTGATTTGGATAAATGATCCAATATTGGTTGACGAATCAATGTGGTTAACGTTTTTCGTCGTATGCCCAAGCCGGGGGAAGGATTAAAGCTCCCAAAGCCGTTGAGGAATTCGTCAAGCCAAGGGAAGGTCTCCAAAGTTCCTCTCAAAGCTTCAAAATATTCATCGCGTTCTTTAACAAAGCACCAACCAGGCCCTCTTCAATCCAAAAGTCAAAGGGACACGCCGCAAAATGTGTTATGGAGCACCAAATCCACGTCTTCAAGGATCAAAGCTGCAAAAGCCGCTGAAGAATACATCAAAGCCAAGGAAGAGCATCCAAAGTTCATCCCAAAGCTTCAAGATGTTCATTGCGTTCTTTAACAAAGCACCAACCAGGCCCTCTTCGATCCAAAAGTCAAAGGGACACGCCGCCAAAAGTGTTATGGAGCACTAAATCCACCTCTTCAGGGATCAAAGCTTCAAAAGCTATCGAAGAGTCTATCAAACCCAAGGAAGAGCATCCAAAGTTTATCCCAAAGCTTCGGGGTGTTCATCGCGTTCTTCACCAAAGTATCAACTCGGCCCTCTTTGATCCAAAAGTCAAAGGGACATGCCACCAAAAGCGTTATGTAGCATCAAATCCACCTTCTAAAAGATCAAAGTTGCGGATCGTCCAAAAAAGACATCAAATCCAAAGCCAATTATCAAACCGCCCACACGGAGACCAAAGCCTTCCGAACGGCGGCAAAGCCAAAGTAAAGATCAAAGCCTAGGACTATCCAAAGAAGACATCAAGTCCAAAGCTAATGATCAAACCGCCCACACGGAGACCAAAGCCCTCTGAACGGCGGCAAAGCTAAACCAAAGATCAAAGCTGCGGATTGTCCAAATAAAACATCAAATCCAAAGCCAATGATCAAACCGCCCACATGGAGACCAAAGCCCTCTGGACGGCGGCAAAGCTAAACCAAAGATCAAAGCTGCGGATCGTCCAAAGAAAACAACAAATCCAAAGCCGATGATCAAACCGCCTACATGGAGACCAAAGCTCTCCAAAAGGCGGCAAAGGCAAACCAAAGATCAAAGCCGCGGATCGTCAAATGAAGACACTAAATCCAAATCAGATGATCAAATCGCCCACACGGAGACCAAAGCTCTCCAAAAGACGGCAAAGGCAAACCAAAGATCAAAGCCGCGGATCGTCCAAAGAAGACATCAAATCCAAAGCTAATGATCAAATCGCCTACACGGAGACCAAAGCCCTCCAAAAGGCTAAAAAGCCAAATCAAAGATCAAAGTTGCGGATCGTCCAAAAAAGACATTAAATTCAAAGCCGATGATCAAATCGTCCACACGGAGACCGAAGCTCTCCAAAAGGTGGAAAAGGCAAACCAAAGATCAAAGCTGCGGGTCGTCTAAAGAAGACATCAAATCCAAAGCCGACGATCGAATCGTCCACGCGGAGACCAAAGTCCTCCAAAAGCAGCAAAGCCAAAGCAAAGGTGAAAGCCGCGGATCGTCTAAAGAAGACAACAAATCCAAAGACGATGATCAAATCTCCAACACGGAGATCAAAGTCCTCCAAAAGCGGCAAAGCCAAAGCAAAGATCAAAGTCTCGGATCGTCTAAAACATAATATTCAAAGTCCAAGCAGAAGCGTAGTACAACAAATCACAACACATATTTATATTTCACTTTTATCAGTCATAAACCCTTTTATCCAAAGAAGATAAAAGGGTTTATGACTGATAAAAGTGAAATATAAATATGTGTTGTGATTTGTTGTACTACGCTTCTGCTACAACATAATATTCCCTCCATCCCATAATAAAGTATTCATTTTTTCATTTTAGTCCATCTCATAACAAAGTATTCATTTCATTTTTTAATAATGATATTATCTACCTAACATTACAAATACCCTTATAATTTACAATATATTACACAAATGTCATTACCTTTATATCACACATACTAATAAGGTTATATTAGTCATTTCTACTACATCCAAATATAATACTAATATTTTTAAAACTACATGCAAAAAGCAAATGGATATTTAATTATGAGACGGGAGAGTAGAATATTCTTGAATTATGTTGAGTATCACACATAGAATATGATGTTGGGATTCCCCTTCTTTATAAGCCGTGAATTACTTCACGTACAATCAATTGGTTTTAAGTTGAAACTTCGGATCCCCGTCTTAATATGGTATCAGAGCTATGATACTCGTATTGGGTTTAGATCCTGTATGAATTTTTGAGATAATCATCTCGAGGGGGAGTGCTGAATATATCTCACACTGAAAAACCCCTGTAAGGTAACGGACTGCTCCACTTATCACCAATTAATTTTAGAGTAAAAGCTTGAATCTCTTTCTTGACAAACTAGTACTCCATACATAGACCAAATTGATGATCAAACTGAATAAACAATCACTGGGGTATTGTTAGTATTTTTTTTTTTTTTAATACCGCACAGTTTATTTTGTCGTCCACGCATCATTAAAAAACAAATGACCAACAATCTCTAAACACATCAAACTTTAACATATTGATTGTCATTCCTCTCCAATTGTTGGACATTTAGTGATGTAACAATCATTGTGGGACATCAATTATTATTGTTGTAATGCACACACATCACTTTTAATGAACGAATCAAACCATGAAAGGTTCCATGAACTCTTCATCATCATCCACAGCCATCATAGTCTCCTGCGACAGCCAAACTTCAACGTCCATCCCACCAGGCTCCGGCGTCGGGTAAACAATCATCTTCCCGTCAAACTTTTGTCCCATCCCGCTTCCCACGGCAACCGGCTTCCCCCATCCAAAGTCGCAGCCATACACATTGTGCCGCGGCGAACTCCCTAGCACAAAAGTTGGAACTGCAATCTTTTTAATCAATGCTGGATTTTTCAACCAATCTTGAACAAATTTGATCGCTGTATCCCGGCTTTGCTGAGCCACCAAATGATTAATCTTTCGCGCTGCGTATCCTAATCCATTCTCCAATATCTTCGCCTCTTTACACACCATTTGCACCACCATAGCTGCATTCCCAAAATAGCCATCTGGGAGAGGAACTCTTGCCCTTGCACCCACATGAAACGCGAAGCTGACTTCCTGGCCTTCTTCGTCGTTGCATCCTTTCTTGATTTTTTCGCAATTCCGGGCGCGTGTGACGCCCCGCCATAAATAAGCAGAGACTGCTTGCAGAGATGAGATGCTGTCCATCCCTGCTTCTTCATTGGCCTTGGCTTTGAGCTCAGACACTGTTTGTTTACTGAAATGAAAAACTCTTCGGAGCAGTGTAAGAGAAGCAAACTCATCCGATTCATTCTGCTGTAACGGCGGAAGACAGAATGATTTGATTCCGTCAGGAAACCAACGTTCGATAACGGGGAGCTTCGATATCCTGTCGGAGCCGCGGGAGATCTCGGACCAAGAATTGAAGAAATGCCAGAAAGCAATTCCATCCACGACAGCATGATTGGCCGTGCAGGCAATGAAGAGACCGTCTGCGAGAACGGTGACTTGCACTCCCAACACCGGCTTCGAAACCCCGTCGGAGTTTATAACGTCTTTGAGTGGGAAAAGGGAATAGACCGTATCTGGTATGTATTTGGGCTCCAAAAGATCGGAAACGTACACGTTGCCGGCGACGGCGTGGGTGAACTCAGCTCCGGCGTTGCTGCAGTTGACATGGAACGACGTCGTGCCGTCGCTGTTTGCGGTGGTGCCGAGGCGTCCGGCGAGCGGAGGGAAGTAGTCGAGCGTGCGGGAGAGTGTGGTTTTGAGGTGATCGATCAGAAGGATTGGGGATTCGAGGGTTTGATAGCCGTCGTTTCTGAAGAAGATTCCTCTCTGGATTGGGCCTACTTGAAGGAGCTGCAAATCCCATGGATTGAGTTGGAAGATAGAATTTGGAGTCGAATTTGTGGCCATTGGAACAAGGCATGAAGAACAGACTTTGATTTCGGCCATTTTTCGGAAGGAATAATTTCGTGGAGTGTATGGATTTGATTTGATCCGCCCCTTTCTTTGTTTAATGTAACTAATTTTAAAATAAAGTACTTTATGTGGCAGTATCATTATGTGTGTATATAATCATTATTTATATATATATATATATATATTTATATAATTTTATTCCACGAAATAATTTTGTCGTTTTGTGTTTATATCTATTCATGTCTAGTCAAGAGTTGTTAAACGAACGTATTCGTTCGTGAACTCGGCTCGATTCAGCTCGGTTAAAGTTCGTTCGCGAATGTTAACGAATCGAGCCGAATAGCATAAACAGACTTGTTTGATTAACGAACGAGCTTAATTGAGTCTAAAGGAATCGAATACCAATACGAGCTCAAATAATAAATATTATATATACATATAAAATTATAATTTATAAATAAATAAAATATCAATTTAAAATAAATAAATAAAATAATTTTAAAGTTTCTTTTTAATTTATATATAATTTTAAAAAGTAAGACAAACGAACTCGAACGAGCTTAATCGAGCCGAACACGAACACAAGCTCAAACAATAAAAATCTTTAACGAGCCGAGCTCGAACACTACGAACGAGCTCGAAAGCTTAACGAACGAACACGGATTCGCGAATTTTAACGAACGAACACAAACATTTAAAATTCAGCTCGGCTCCGCTAACTAATAGCTCTATTTATGTCATGTATTTTATTCACATCACAAAATATTACTTCTATGATTTTCGTCGGTCTTTTCAAAATATTATTTTCTTATTTTAGTAAAAGTAATCATATATTAATACTAAAATACCCTTAACGTTTAGCTAAATTACAAATATATTATTACACATACAATTAATTTTTACAAAAATTTCAGAGGACAAAAATATCAAAACTTCTTACACACTTCCACGGAGGATTATTTTTTTTGTGTTGTACCCCTCTTAAATATTCTATGTACACATTATAAGTTATACGTGGAGCTTTTGTTGGTAATTTTGTAGTCGTCTATTGTCTATTCGATTTATTATATATATACACATTAGTTTGTACGATCCAAGTGATAAATTAATTATTTTATTAATTTTTTTAATATAAAATATCATATTAATATATATTAGAAAATATTTATACCAACATTAAATTATTAAAATTAATTATTGTTATTTAAAACAATGACTATATAAAATTAAAAAAATATATATTATAAATAAAATACATTAAAAAAATATAATTGGGACATGAATCGAGAAAAGGCTTACGGTGGATACCTAGGCACCCAGAGACGAGGAAATTTAATTGTGTTGAACAATTCACAAAGTCTCCCTAGTGTTCATTTTTTTCTTTAATACATATTAATCAACATTTCTTTTTATATTATATTATTTTACGTGCAGCTCATTTCTTATTTTAATCGAGCAATTTTGCTAAAAGCTCATGTTATATTCATGTATAAAGATTTGATTCGATAAACAAATCAATTAGTTTGCTCTTTGTTGTAAAGCCAAATTTTATCAGCATTTACTACTATTTTTTTTATTATTCCCCCTTTCCCAGCTAATTTGTCCACATTAGTTGGGACTTAAAATTTTAGGTATTGTGTAATTAGTAAGTACTTAAGAAATATATCAGTAAAAATAATTATAATTTAATAAAAATAATTATAAATTGAGATTAAAATTACTAAATAGTTTACTTAAAATAAAAAAATGACAATAAATTATGAATATTTAAATGTGATTAAAGTGTATAATTATATTTCCAAAAAATGAAATGACAAATTATATGGACGGACGAAAATAGAAAGAGTACGACAAATTATATGGGACATAGGGAGTATTATTATTTTAATTGTAATTCAATTGCATATTTTTTGTCTCAATATAATACTTTCCCTATTCCATATTTTTGTGTCAGATGTACTGTAAATACGAAAATTTTGGTAAAATATAATTAGTAAGTAGTTAAGATGTGTATTAATAAAAATAATTATTATATAATAAAACTAATTATAGATTAAGATTAAAATAATTAAATAATATACTTAAGATTAAAAAATTATAAATTATGAAATTTAAAATGTAACTAGAGTATATATAATTATATTTTTAAAAATCGAGAGGACAAATAAGGTGGGACGGATAGAAATAGAAATAGTGGACGAAAAAGTGGGACTGAGGGAGTATTAGTTACTAAAATTTGTGTTGTTATTGAAATTCGTCGATGACGGTCCAACGAATTTAAGCCAGTCGAAATTGACAATAATCGAGTTCCCCGGCCTATTTAAAAATATATCTGGGCTTGCTCTCGCAATCAAAAATTGATATATCTAATTGCGCAAAAGATTTAATACGCTAGACTATGGAGAAGAACAACAAACGGATGACTAAGAAAGGAAAGATATTGAATTCTATTAAATAAAATCAACAAGAAATTATGAACAAAGCTCAATAAAGAAAGTAATAATTATGTGTTATATAATAATAATATAATATATAAGTTGGTAAGTAATAATATAATATATAAGTTGGTAAGTATATATAATATATGTGTATGTATGCGTGTTGTATATGTATGTGGCTCCAAGTATATATTATATATATATATGTGTGCATATAAAGCACTATCTATATATTAATGTATATATATATATGATATGTAGTAGTAGTGTAATTAATGAGAAGCGAGAGAGAAAGTTGTAAATGTGGACCAAATTGATATCCATTTTCAAGGACATCAAACTATACATATATATATAGATTCTTTTAGCCAATTACAAACATTTACACCTAGTATACGTATATGTCAACAAAACGCTACGTATTCAATTGTTGTACAACACTCCCCCTTGGATGTTTTATACAAAGAATGTGACTCGTTAAAACCTTACTATGAAAAAAAAACCCTGTGGGAAAAAATCATAGTGAAGGAAAAAGAGTACATCATTCTTGTATTAATGCGCTCCCCTTGTTTTGGACTTTATTTGATATCTTTCATTCGACGCATTCCAATTCCTTGCACCAGTTTGTTGAATGTTGCAGTCGGTAGCGCCTTCGTAAATAAATCTGCAAAATTTTCAGACGATCGAATTTGTTGCACATCAATTTCACCACTTTTCTGAAGATCGTGAGTGAAAAAGAACTTCGGAGATATGTGCTTTGTCCGGTCGCCTTTAATATATCCTCCCTTTAATTGAGCTATACAAGCTGCGTTATCTTCAAATAATATTGTATGAGGTAATTTATCATCGGTAATCAAGCCACAATTTTTCTGAATATGGTGAGTCATGGACCTCAACCAAACGCATTTACGACTGGCTTCGTGAATTGCTAAAACCTCAGCATGGTTTGAAGAAGTAGTTGTTATTGTTTGTTTAGCAGATCTTCAAGATATTGCGGTTCCACCACATGTAAATAAATAGCCAGTTTGAGATAATGCTTTGTGTGGATCAGACAAATAACCAGCATCAGCATAACCAGTTAATTCATTTCGAGATTCACTCGAATAAAATAATCCGAGGTCATGAGTCTCCTGAAGATAACGGAAAATGTGTTTGATACCATTCCAATGGTGCTTTGTGGGGGATGCGCTAAACCTGGCAAGTAAATTTACTGAAAAAGATATGTCTGGCTTGGTACAATTTGTAAGGTACATTAATGCGCCAATAGCGCTGAGATATGGTACCTCGGGGCCAAGTATTTCTTCATTTTCTTCTCTTGGCCTAAATAGATCTTTACTGGGATCAAGGGATCTGACCACCATTGGTGTACTCAGAGTGAGATTTATCCATGTAAAATTGTTTTAATACCTTTTGGGTATATGTTGATTGATGGATAAATATTCCATTGTTCACATGATCCATTTGTAATCCCAGACAATATTTTGTCTTTCTAAAATCTTTGATCTCAAATTCTTTCTTTAGATATTCAACTGCAATTTGGATCTCTTTAGGAGTTCCAATTAAATTGAAATCATCAACATATATTGCAATAATGACAAAATTTGATCCATTTTTCTTTATAAAGACGCATGGGCATATTCGACCATTAGTATAACTTTCTTTTATTAAACATTCGCTCATACGGTTATACCACATTCGCCCTGATTGTTGAAGTCCATACAATGACTTTTTCAATTTGATGGAATATGATTCCCTTGGGTTTAATTTGTATGCTTCAGGCATATTGAATCCCTTAGGAACTTTCATATAAATATCAGTATCCAAGGAGCCATAAAGATATGCAATAACTACGTCTAAAAGGCGCATATCGAGCTTTTCTCGCACTGCTAGGCTCACAAGGTATCCAAATATTATTCCATCAACAACTGGAGAGTATGTTTCATCAAAATCTACTCCAGGCCTTTGTGAGAATCCCTGAGCTACAAAACGGGCTTTATATCTCACAATTTCATTATGCTCGTTTCTTTTTCGTACAAACACCCATTTGTATCCAACTGGTTTTATACCATCTGGTGTTTGAACAATTGGTCCGAAGACCTCTCTTTTGTTTAATGAGCCAAGTCTGATTGAATCGCATTCTCCCATTTTGGCCAGTCATTTCTTTGCCGACATTCATGAACCGATTTTGGCTCTGGATCCTCGTTTTCTTCCATTATATCAAGTGCTAAATTGTATGCGAAGGCATTATCAATAATTGCCTCTTTACGGTTCCAACATTTTCTTGAAGTGACATAGTTAATTGAGTTTTCAATAATCTCATCATGTTCTTCAAGATCGTGCTCTTCTTGAGCAATTATTTCAGGGTTGACTTCCTCGTTACATTTAGGTTTATCAATGTCATTCCTGATATTTTTATGATTTTCATCATTAATTCCTCTTTTCTTTCGAGGGTGTTTATCTTTGGAACCAAGTGGTCAACCACGTTTTAAGCGTGTCGCTGATTCATTAGCACTTGCAATTTGTCCATCAGGGACAATTATTTTAGCCGGAGCATTAGCAGCTTAGATATATGATCGAGTGACTTTGCTCGAGTCATTGAATGCATCCGGTAACTGATTTGCAATATTTTGCAAATGTATAATGTGTTGAACTTCTAGTTCACACTGCTTT